GCAGAAATATCTGTAAAGTATAAATCAAAAAAACCTGAACAATGTGAAAGGTAGCTGTGGGAAGAAGTAAAAACCTGTAATCCTCTTCCCCCCAATCTATAAAAAGCAGTATTTCCTCCCAGTAAACCACCTTGCAGGCCCTGAGAAAGCAACCACAAGGCAGGCTGGTCCTGTTGCAGATGTGGCCACCAGCTGTGGCCACTGTGGACCATCATGGTTTGGTGGCTCCAAACCCGACACCGTGGAAGACCTGGCTGGCTGGGGGCCACTGGGAATTGGGAGTTGCAACAGGGGAAGACTCCTAGGGGGAGAAGCCTCATGCTGGCCCTCCTCGTGCCACTGGCATGATAGCCTTCCAGGGTGGGGGGTGGTGGGACTTTCAAACCTGGCCCAGATGCTCCAGGTGCCTCTGGTCCAGAGGGGATGCCCAGGTATGGCCAGCAACATGGAGGGCTGTGGCTGCAGCAGGCTCCACAGGACAGGCCACTTGATGGAATGGTGCAAATCCCTTTTTCCAGAGCACCATAAACACTGATTTGTCCAATGGGGCAGAATAGACCAGCTGTGGGCATCTTTGAAGTTGAAGTCCTAACCCACAAGGGAGCCATGGATGTCCCCTGCCTTGGTGACACAGGAATGTCTGTGGGATTCGGGGCTGTCCATGGGAGGGGATTCAGCTGGTACTATAGCATCAGCTTGCCCTGGTCCCTGTTACGGTTTGTGCTGGTGGTACACTGAAGCAGAGATGGCTCACCACCATCTGATGGGGAGGCTGGACTGTGGGCTGCCACACATCTTGTGCAGGGCTTTTTGGTGTTTCCCAATCCTTATGTACAATCCCTATATGATTGCTTAAAAAAAAAAAGTCCCCAAATCTTTAAGCAACATTTTTGATTGTGCTAGGTTTTAACTCTCTTGCCAGGATGCCACTTGGCATGTGTCTCTGTCCTCTGTCTCTAGCATGAGCCACCCTCTGCTTGCTGCCATCCCCAGGGAGGTGGCGCCAGAACACACACACACTTACTTTCGCTACCTTTAAGGTGGGTTAATTACAAAAAGTGATCAGCAGCAGAGCAGTTTGTGGCATAAGCAGCGGAAGACCATCTGCAAAATTGTCCTTGCAGCTGGTGGCACAGCAAAAGCTGCCTGTGTGGCAGCCTTGAACAGGGATAGTGTGGCGGTGTGTGTCCTCAACCCAAAACCAAAGAACATCTCCCACTGGGCTGGAACAGCACTGGGAGAGGCCTGGGAGAACCCACAGTTTGGGGCAGAGGAGGGTATGTGGGACCAAGGGTGCTGGGAACAGCCAAACCACCTCCCTCCCCCCGCCTGGCCCCCCGCTGGGTGAAGCAAGGAGGCAAAAGAAGTGGAGGATGAGAAGATTATTTATTTTTCATAGATTTTTATAAAAAATAATTATCAAATACAAAAAAATAAAAATAGCAGCAGCCTCCGTTGTGAATAAAACCCTAAAGGGGACAAAACCGCTCAGTGTCGCTATAGAAGAACAATATTTCAGTACATAGAAGCTATCCATTCATGAGAAGTACAAATCCCTATCAGCCAAGCCAGTGCCTCCAGCCCTGCCCAGTTACCCTATCCACTGGTGGGCAGGGAAGAGCCATTGCTGAGACCAGGATTTTCACACCAAAAGGGTAAAAATTTGGCATCTAAACACATAGGCATCTAGGTAACACTGATGCCCGGCAGGGAAGCCTTTGGCATCACCAGATGCCGGGACTTGAAATTCTCCCATCTCCCTCTGCGTGTCACCCTCATCCCACATCCCCACCAGTCCTACCAGCGGGGGACTGCCGTGCCCCCCGCTCCTGCTGTGCTGAGACCCCTGAATTTCCCCTTCCCTGTGCTGGTGAAGCAGGACAGGCTGCCCAGGTTGCACCTTCTGGGGGGCATCGGGGCCAGAAGAGTCTCAAAGGGCTTTTTTAAAAATTTCCTTGTTTTGGGGTTGTTTTTACTTTTTTTTTTTTGATTGAAAAATGGATTGCTGTCAAAAAATTGCAAGTCTCTGCCAAAATGACAGTGCATTTGGTTGAAAGCCCTGGATGTTGTCACCTGTGCCTGATGGGAACAGAAATGCCTGCTGCAAGGGGAGATGGGGTTCATCTTTCCCCCCCGCTGCATCCCTTCCTAGGCCAGGGCAGGCAGGAGGCGACCCGCCATGGGGCGATGGGCACACCTGAGATCAGGAAACGGCTTAGAGAAGGACAAAGCATCTCCTGTCTGGATGCTGGTGGGATGCCCAGGTGCCTCTGCCCCTACTCCTGTCCTCCAGTCAAACATAACTTTAGCAGATGCCTGACAAAAA